TCAGAACTCTTGAAATTGCTGTTGTGTCCTTCTGGAACACTCTCCTTGTAAATACCCACTAAGCTTACTTCCTATTCTCTGAGAAAGAATGCTTACAATAAGTTTCACTGTTTAAAATCTAGGATTTCCCTTATGCATAAATATTTCTCAATCATATTCTATATCATAGATAGATTTGTGTGGAGGATAAAGAAGCACAATACATTTGGCCCTGTCTAAATAGTTTTGTTAAGAAAGTAAATACACCATCATGTGTCTGTTTTCAGGAAAGGCACAGGCATCTGTACCTGAGGCATATGGTCTCCTTGATGAGTAGCCAGATCCTCAAAGGACAAAATGGCACCATAGTTACTGAATGGCCATGGAACTTACATGTGATCTTAAAAATCACTCTAATGGCATATTTTTACTTCACCAGTTAAGGATGTTTTAGACATTAATAAATGGACTGTGTGGGGGCATGCAGCATTGATTTGCAAAGAAAAAATGGATAGTGGTCATGGGCTCCTTTTTGGCATAGCATTATTAACTTCTCACTTGCTTAGAATTCTTGAGTCAATCATCCTTATGTCTTTCCCCTTCATTTAGATCTGTGCTCAAATGTTATCTCATCAGAAAAACCTTGCCTATCTGAAGGAGTATCCCTTCTTAACTCTCTTCCTTGTGTTTTTTTTTTCTTCCTACTACTACTTAACTGTAACATTTTGGATTTTTTAAATTTTCTTTTTCTTAGTCCTCAACCAAAGAAATGTTCATTGAATTTTAGACATAAAATAAAGGGAGGGAAGGAGAGAGAGAGAGAGAGAGAGAGAGAAAGAGAGAGAGAGAGAGAGAGAGAGAGAGAGAGAGAGAGAGAGAGAGAGAGAAATACATTAATGTGAGAGAAACATGGACCAGTTGCCTCCCATATGTACCACAATGGGGAATCAAACCCACAACCTAGGTATGTACCCTGACCTGACCTGGGGTAGAACCTGCAACCAAAGTCACCAACATTTTTTTCTTTAATCTGAGCTAGTTGAGAGAGAGGAATGAAGAAGGGGACACACACACACACACACACACACACACACACACACACACACACACACGAGATAGATAGAGAGAGAGAGAGAGAGAGAGAGAGAGAGAGAGAGAGAGAGAGAGAGCTCTACCTGAAAGTGAAACATAGATAGCTGCCTCCTGCATGCCTCCCACTTGGGATTAAGCCTGCAACCTGGCCATGTGCCCTGGCTGGGATTCGAACTGGCACCCTTTTAATGCACAGGAGGACACCCATTCAATTTAGACACTTTTTTATATAAAAAACTAAATAAAAAGACACCATTTGTAATAGCAACAAATCTACAAAATCACTCAAAATTAGCAAAAGAAAGAATATATAAGAATTTTACAGAATAATTCTAAAAACTATTAAAAATTAAAAAAGTATTTTTATTAACTGGATTTTATGAAAGGAGTTATTATAAAAGCACATCTCTTTATTTTTTATTTTTAAAATATATTTTATTGATTTTTTACAGAGAGGAAGGGAGAGAGAAGAGAGATAGTTAGAAACATGGATGAGAAGCATTGATCAGCTACCTCCTGTACGCCCCTCACTGGGGATGTGCCCAGAACCAAGGTATGTGCCCTTGACTGGAATTGAACCCTGGACCATCCAGTCCTCAGGCTAACGCTCTATCCACTGAGTCAAACCAGTTTTGGCAAGCACATCTCTTTAAATTATTCTATAACTTCTATATATTTCTAATGAAATTCAGGTGGATTTTTGGAGAAAATTAGTAAACTTTAAAAATTTTTACATAAATTTTTACATATATCTAAAGCATTTTTAAAAGAGAGCAAAGGTTTATTCACAAGGAAATAAAGTTCTGAATACAAAAGTTAACACTAAAAGTTAGTAGCATATAATATAGCAAGATACCTTTATGACCTTTATTTCTTAAACTAAATTCCCATATTAAAAGCTCTAGAATCTTATTTAGAAATGCACTATGTTGGGTTGGTGCCCCATTCCCCATGCACAAGGCTTAATTCATTTTTTTATGTGTCACTGTGGCTAGAGTTTATTTATTTTTACTTTTAAAAAGTTATATATATATAGTCTTGATTTCTAAGGTCTTGGCCCAACCCAAGGGCCTATCACTAAGTCAGGTCCTGCCAGACAGGAGGACCTGTTTTTTTCAACCCTTTGGAGGACAAAAATGGGCATATCCAGGTTATGGGCAAGCAGCAGAAACTGTTCTACTGTTTTGCATATTGTTCCTTCTGTCACAAACTATAAAATTGATGTATTTTTTTTTTTGCAAAAACAAAAAAATAAAACCCAATAATAAAATTAAAAGTGAAAATTGTTGAATTTTATGTTATAAAACTAAGGCTTTCTCTTTTATAAAAAAATGAATGGTTGTAAAATTTAGGGAAGGTTTTGGAATGTTAAAAATAAAATATAAATGTACACACACAGAGTAATATGGAATGGTCTTTAAAGAGTGCTGAGTAAAACACATTAATACATAAAGGATACTAAGGTAGTTAGGAGGAAGCAAAAATGCAGTTAGTAGATGAGAAAGACCCAAAGAAAATGACAATTGAGTCCAGGTCTCTAATGCCCGGGATACTGGTATATTCTTACTCACAGTGTGGGGTCATGATAGAGAGATGGTCTTAAATGAAATACATATACTTATAATTCAATTACATAAGAATGTATTTGAGTTTTTAAATCTTCAAACTTGTATATTAATATAAATGTAATAACTTGGCTTTAATATCTATTTTAGGAATAACTGCAGATAATCCTGTTATATTACATGTTAGAAATTCAGTCCATTCTCTATTTATTTTATGCAATATTTGTAGAAAGCAGGATGGCTTAAAGACCATACTTTGCCCTGACTGTCAGAGCCCATATTATACCAGTGTGGTAATTCACACTAACTGCCATTTTTGTCAGTTCGTTTGTTTGTTTTTAACTACTACAAGAGTTGTATTTTGGGGATGGAAGGCTGTTGCCAACTAAACAGGATCATTTCCTCCTGCACCGTATCTTGTTGAAGACAGGCATTAGGAAAGTTGGACATAAGAAAGCTCCTTTTCAAACTCTCCTTAACCAAGACATAATTCAGAATGGCCAATGACAAATTAATAAGCCATTATATGTCAGTTAATAAGATACTCAATTCCCCCTTCTCTTCTGCTTAAAATATCCCTAACACATCAGTAAAAGCATTTCCTGTTTATTTTAAGAAAATACTAACTTCCACTTTAACCATAGGATAATTAACAGACATTATTGAGAATAGGGAAACTATCAGAAATAAAATAAGAGAAATGTTTTTTTTAAAATATTATTTGGTAACACTTTATATTTGATATTTTATCCAGCATTTAATTTTAGCAAGTAATTTATTATAAATATATTTTCTTGCTGGAAAATGAAATCAGGGATCCTCAAAAATTTTTTTTAGGCCAGAGTGGATAATTTAAAATTTTCTACAAGAGAATCAAATGTATTAAATATTAACTTCCAAATTCTGCAATTTTTAAAGTGGATATTCATGGTGAGGAGGGATGATTTAAAGATCTTCTGAATCTAAAAATGTGGATTATATATTACTTTGAAAGTCCAATCAGTTGTACTAAATACAACCTGCAATCCCAACAAATATATAGCATTTTGGGGAGTAATCACAAAAATATTTAGGACAATTCGTTAATACACACTTTGTCACTTCACACTTTGTCATTTGCATGTTTACATTTTAATAAGAAGACTGAGTTCTTATAAAAGCATCATTTCACTCACTTGATTTGTCCTTTGTCATAAGTTGTAATGTTGCTTTTTCTATTGGTATTATATTTTCAATTTATAAAAGAAAGAAATTGTCAGGCAGATATATTGGAAAAATTATATCTAGAAGCAAATACGCCAGTTCTTATCTTCTATACTTATGTAGAGACAAAGTTATCAAATATCCAGATTTCCAAATAAATATAGTTTCATGCCAAACTGTTATAAATTTTAAAACATATCCCAAATACTTATTTTTCCAAAGGCCTTTTACAATTTCATAATGTTGCCAAGATTATCAATTGGGTCTATAGCATGCTAGGGAAATAAAATCTTAAAATAAAAAAAAAAATAAAAATAAAGATATACTAGGTTAAGCTATATTGGGCAATATTAGAGGAGAGAACAATTTTCTCCCACTCAAACAATAAAGGTAATGTTAAATGTTTTGTAAACTATCTTATCCTGAAATTATACTTTTAAAAATAATTTCCTGTTCCATTCAATGTTCTGAAATAATTGACATAATTACATTTCCTACTTTAACATCTCTCTGCTATGAACAACAATTTATTACATGCTTTATGTAAAATTTGTTCTATTATTACAAACTAGCTATGAAACTAATACAACTTGAGATAAATCTCAAATGCCAAAGGAAGCTGTCCCGTGTTCTCACATAGATAACATTTATAAATCGTCAATATAGCAACTATGTACTACGGAGCCGATAAGAATGTGCTGAACAGTATGAGGTTTTATTTCGTCAGTGCTGGTTTAACTCACAAAGTAAAAAAGAGTTCTATGTAATTCATCACACTTTTGCAAATCATCACAACTATTTGAACATCCAAGATACAAAGGATATTTTCAAAAAATTAATACTTATAGTAAACATCTCTTAAAACTGAAACAGAATTCTTAATGACATCAGAATGATACAGGAGAAGCAAACTCATAACCCTAAAATATATGCCCTATAAATTATGAAAATGTGTTATTCCTGTTTTCTTCATAGTTTTAGAAGGGGGGTGTTTCTTGGAGATTCCGATTGACTATATATATATATATATATATATATATATATATATATATATATATATCAGAGATTATTATAGCCCTATTATTGAAACACTGAATGAGAGTTTTAGAGGCTAAGATAACCTAGGCTAGGACTTTCGATTATGCCAATGAAAACTCCTACCTGGCAGTAGACTCTCCTGTACTTTCATCAGCCATCATCTCCAAATCTTGTGAATGTTTCTCACAGGCTCTTTTGAACAAATTCTCCTCTGGAACTGCTTTAGGAGTATCTTCATTTGCTCGAAGATGTTCTATCAGGTTCTGCGGGTGCCAAGTCTGAAGCACTCTTTGATGGGCAGGGGCCAGTCCTGGCACTGGTGGCAATATGTTGTGGTGGACGGGACTATTGCTTTTCTTCAGTCCGTTTCTGTCCCGAGAGTGGTTCTTCAACCTGCCCTGAACCTGGGTCCCTCTATGCTCATATCCTTCCTGCTGAAGGCAGTTTCCAGGGTTGGAAGAACCTTGAGAAGGATGACTAAACCACCTCCAGCGTAGCCGTAGGATCTGTTTCACATCAAACTCTTTCTTGCCAGACATTGACATTGTTGCAGGAGGAAAGACAAAAGCCTTCTCTCACAGAAAGGAAACGGAGCCTTTGTTATCTCTGGTTTCTCTGCCTCTTCTGTTGAACTAACAAAAGCACAAGTGCCTAGAGCAGCCTTTTCTTGTCCCCCCTCCCCCGCTGCCTGCTGCCTGTGCTATACAGAGAATACTTCTAGCTTTCTAGCTGCGAAGCTGCAGCTAACAGTGTAGGTGGGAACCCATACTGACAGGATGATGAGGTCAGACCTTAAACAAGTAAATCAGCTTAGCACAGGAAAGCAGCCACCACAACACACTCCAGCTGCTAATGTGCATGCTCACTCACAGTCTTCCCTCCTGGACTTGCAAATATTGAACCCAGCTTCTTCCTTCCCGAGTGGCAGTAGCTGAGGCTTAAAACCAAGCATGTGAGCAAAAGCAAAGTGTTTAAACTCACTTCCTTCTAGATTCCCTTCACTCACCCCACCCCCTGCCAGATTCTTTTCCCAGTAGCTCACTTCTAAAACTGTGCCACTTTGTCCTGGGAGAATTTGTAACAGTGAATTCATTATGATCTATTTTGGGGATCTTACAGAAATTTTGAAGGTGGTTTATTAAGGGAAAGCATCTTGCCACCAGTCCCCTAATTCAGGTTTGCCATTATTTTTATAATACATCTGAAAATGTGAATGTCTTTACATAAATATTTGCTTGAAAACCTGAACAGTTTTAAAAATATACGAAAGTGTTTTTCTAATCTCATTAGCTTAGAAGAGATGTCTTCTCTCAGTGACCAAAGCCTGCAAATAAATAGTCTATTCTGATCCCATGCCTGTATAAGCATCTCCCTATCATGGTTTTCATTTTCATAAGTGGTGTTAAAGTCTATTTTTTGAAAGTTCTTTTCAGAGGATGCAAAACATGTTTTGAATTAACTCCAATTGACACATTACTCAGTAATAGCTGTACGCAAAGTACTTTGAGATATGAATCAGAATTCCTAGTAGCACAGAGGTAGATGTTTTACAACATAAAATGCATATACCAATTCCATCTTGGAATTTAATTTGAATTGTATCCAGATTTCATGTCTTGCATGCAGGTGATAAGGGGGCAATTCCATCAGTGTATCCTTAGAAAGAATATTGAAACTATAAAATTTTGGTTTTAATTCTGGCTTTATGGTTAATGCAATGTATAATCTTGGCCAAGTCACTTATTTCATTGCATCACAGTTACTTCATGAATAATATAAAGAGCATGAATAGATTTCTAAAGTTTTAACTAGCAACGGATTTTTAAAAGTTGGGAATAGAGAATGAAATGAGTATCTTTTTTTCTGTTTCGGTGGGTATTTTACCTGCAGATTTCTATAAATGCAATTAAACCTTTCTCTTATATCCCCACTTGTTTTGTAAGTGTAATGGAAAATTAATATATTAACCAACATGACTGGGCTACGGGGTGCTCAGATATTTGGTAAAGCATTGTTTTGGTTGTTTCTGTGTGAGTGTTTTTTGGATGTGTTTAACATTTTAATAAATAGACTGAGTAAAGTAGTTAGTCCTCCCTACTGTGGGTGGGCTTAAGCCAAGCAACTGAAGGCCTGAATAAACAGAAGGCTGACCCTTCCCTAAATAAGAAGGAATTCTTCCAGCCTGACTGCCTTCCATCTGAGACATCATCTCTTTTTGTCCTGACTTCAGACTCAAATTGAAATATTGGTTCTTCCTGGGTTTCAAGCCTCCTGGCTTTTGGAGTTGAATTATACCATCATCTCTTCTGGGTCTTCAACTTGCTGATGGCAGATCTTGAGACTTGTCTGCCTCCATAATTATGTGATCCGATTCATTATAATAAAACAATCTCTCTCTTTCCTCTCTCTTTACTACACACACATCCTATTGTTTCTATTTCTCTGGAGGACCCTCACTGATACAGTAGTTCTTTTTCTAGTACTAAAAATTAATAAACATTGATAAATATATAGTTGATTTTTATACCACCTGCAAACAATGTATCGCTATCTCCAACTTACCAACCTATTGCCAACATGTTTCTTCTTTTAAAAAAATATTTTCATTGATTTTAGAGAGGAAGGGAGAGGGATAGAGAGAAAGAAACATCAATGATGAGAATCATTGATAAACTGCCTCTTGCATGCCCCCTTCTGGGGATCAAGCCCACAATCCAGGCATGTGTCCTTGGCCAGAATTGAACCTGGGACCCTTCAGTCATTAGGCCAACCCTCTATCCACTGAGTCAAACCAGCTAGGACACCAATATGTTTCTTAAGCCTCAGTGTTAGCATCTATTAACATCACTTCTTGGTGAGTGTGATTTCCCTTCCTGGCATTTAGCATGTAAATAATTGGAAAGAATCTCAAATAGTTCTTCCGATGAGCCCCAGGCATATCAATAAGTCTTGGTAACAAAATATCAATTGCCTTTCTATTATCTGGGGAGGGAACATTCCAAGTAAACTCCTTGAAGATAAAATTTGTATTTTAGACCTTTGTGTTCCTCATTGAGTAAGCAAACTGTAGAAAACAGTCAGAATAAATACAATGTTATAATAGATTTGAAAATAATGTGTCTTAGGCACAAGAACAACCACTAAATTGGCCATCTAAGCAGTTCAAAATAATATCTTCTGGGCCACCAAGGGTCTGCATTATCTTTCTATTACATTTCCTTGAGATTATTATGATTAAGATGAAATTGCATATTTCTCTGTGTACCTTTGACAGTAAAATGAATGGTAACTGACACTTGTCAAAATCTAAATATCGATAGAACAATACTCTATATGATTTTATCTAGAATGTGTTTTTTAAAGGTATTCAGATTATGGCCCAGCCAGGGTGGCTCAGTGGTTGAGCGTTGAGCTATGAACCAGAAGATCAGGGTTGTGGGCTCAGTCCCCAGTAGGGGGCATGCAAGAGGCAGCCAAGCAATGATTCTCTCATCATTGATGTTTCTACCTCTCTTTCCCTCTCCCTTTCTCTTTGAAACCAATAAAAATATTTTAAAAATACAAAACATAAATATATGCAGATTATGGACATTTTTCTGGATCTTGGACACAGAATTATAGAATGGCTAAAAAAGTATATAGATCTAGAAAATTATTGAAGAGAAATAATATTTTATGAAGCATGAGGGTTTCTCTTAAATTTCTGTCTATAAAAGAAAGATTCAAACATATTCAAACACAAATGAAGACAATGTGAGCATAGAACAATATCTTATTTATCTTTTCTTTTCCTTTGCCTTATTATCTACTTGAAATCAAATAACTAATATATGTAGAATTAATGAATAACAAATTCTCAAGGAATTTATTATAATATAGATTTATTGTCTCAATATGTGTTAATTTTTTTACATTTTTAAAATTATAATGGACATAAAATTATATTAGTTTCAGGTGTACAACATAATGATTTGACATTTGTATAACTTACTATAATATAACCACAATAAGTATAGTAACCAACCATCTGTCACCATACAGAGTTATTATGATATTACTGACTTCTTTTTCATATGCTGTACATTATATCCTTATAATTTATTTTATAACTAAAAGTGTGTACCTTTTATTCCCCTTTACCATTTTCATCCATCCTCCCACTACCCTATTATTCCGTAGCTATTAGTTTGTTCTCTGTATCTATGAGTCTGTTTCTATTTTTAAATGAAACTGCAAAGTTGTTATGGGCTAAAATGCCCTTCTAGATAATTAATGATTATACAATTGGGAAACAAACCTGTAAACCAGTAGAAAAATCCTGGCAACTTAGCATCCATGTGCTCTCTTCATGTATTCTGAGTAAAATGCTGACCAGAAAATTAAATTAGTCACTACTAGGCCACCTCAAAATTTAACATTATTCAAATGTACGTAGGGATATTTTTCCCTATAATTATCTGATTACAAGACTTAAAGACATCTGTGTATTAGAAGCTGCACATCAATAACTTATAGTCCGGAGATGGAACTAGTCACTTGGCACAAGCCACAATGGACAGCACTAAAGTTATTTTTCTTTAAAAAAGCAGTACAGGCATACCTCAGAGATATTGTGGATTTTGTTCTTCTCAATAACTTGCTTCAGCTTCTATATCAGCACTTGGGGCCTCACGTTGCACTTTTATTATTTTCTGAAGATGACTTCTTTCCTAAAACCTCAAAAACCAACCTCTGCTGGCTTTAAGCTTTTCTTTTGCAGCTTCCTTCCCCTTCTGAGCCTTCAAAGAATTGAAGAGGTTTAGGGATCTGGCTCTGGATTGGACATTGGTTTATGGTAATATTGTGGCGAGTTTGATGTTTTATCCAAGTCACTAAAACTTTTTTCCACATAAGCAATGTCTGTTTCATTTTCTTATCATTTGTGTGTTCACTGGAGTAACACTTTTCATGTCCTTCAAGGACTTTCTTTTGCAGTCACAAAGTGGCTAACTGACACAAGAAGCCTAGCTTTAGGCCTATCTCAGCTTTTGACATGCCTTCCGCACTAAATCAATTATAGCTTTTGATTTAAATTCAGAGACGTGCAACCTTTCCTTTCAACTGAATATTTAGAAATCATTATAGGGTCTCATTTTAATATTGTTTTATCTGAGGGAATAGTGAAGTCCAAGGAGAGTGAGAGAGACGGGAATATGGGCCCTCAGTGGAGCAGTCAGAAAACACATAATATATATTGATTAAATATGCTGTCATATGAGCATCGTTGTTGGCAACCAGAAACAGTTACATAATAACATCAGAGATCACTGATCACAGATCACCATGGCATGTATAATAATAATGAAACAATTTTAAAATTGTGAGAATTACCAAAAATGTGACATAGATTCACAAAGTGAGGAAAAAGCTGCTGGAAAAGTGCCACAGTTAGACTTGCTCAGGGCAGAGTTTCCACAAACCTTCAACTTGTGAAATCCACAATATCTGTAAAGCACAATAAAGCAAAGCAAAATAAAATGAGGTATGGCTGTATCTTATTTAGAGA